ATGGCATCCAGCAGAATATGAATGTGTGTTTTTTCTTTCCTTAGTTCCTGCCACTTTCAAAAATCTTGCATGAAAGGCAACTGAGGACTTTGTTATCTAGCCAGTTCTAAGTGAGATGTATTTTCCAGTACATTAACAGTCTACTGTCAGCATTTTAACAGTATGACCATTTTCTTTGGTCATACTTTGAAACTTTGAAACTTCATGCTCATGTTCACAGGAGGTAGCGTTAAGAAAGGATTTCATTGGTGTGATCATAGCTTCAATTATTAGAAAGTCCATTCCTTATACTGACTACTCTTCTTTCCTTGAAAGGAAATAGAGAAAAAAATCATCTAGCTTAAGAAATACAGAAAATGGAAAAATGGTCCCTAAGATTTTGTAAACTCTTGACTACTCTGGAAAATAGTTTCCTCCACTTCTGAAGAGTACTTTGCTGCATCAATCACAGAAGCAAGTGAATAAGCACTTTGGAATTATTTTATGTCATTTCTGGCCTGCTTGAATAGCAAGTCATATTAAAAAACGATGCACTTTCAACCATGCTTTCTACAACTTAAAGTCATTCAATATCAGCCTTTTCTGTAACACTAGCTATGATAGATCCTAGGTGGAAGCATTTATGTCCCCAGCATTTATGTAAAAGGAGAATATTTTCAATCCATTTTGAAGAGGAAGAATTTGGATATATGCAGCAAGGTTAAATTAAATCCCTATTAGCAGACTGAGAAGACACTTAGAGCAGAGAAGGTAGCCCAGATGCATCAAAGCCCAGTGCAGAGTCACCATAATACTAGTCTTCCACATTAGTCAGTTTCTGTTGGCTGCTGAAGATGCATATGAGGAGCTGAATGCCCTCATGTCCATTGAATCTGGTCTCAGGGAAGCCACTCCTTCCTCCTGTGCACTACTGCACTGTGAGCCTTTCTGGATTTGACTGTTACTTACAGTGGTTCTGTCTGCCCTCTCCAGCTGGTGACTTAGAGGAACTGTGGTCTCAAGATTTTTTATTTAATCAAGGTCACACAAAATCGGTGAGGCTCTTAGAAAGCATTCAGTGAACTTGAGAAATGTCTGCTGCCATTTCTCTTGCCTGTTGCTTCTCCAACAGGTCACAAGTCTCCATCAGTTCATGTTGTGTCTGTCAGCCCCACACAGATGTCTTGAGTGCCCTGAGTGCCCTGCATTATTTCAAATGGTACTGAGTATCCCAAATGGACAACTGAATCTTTTCCTGATAGTTTAAATAGCTCTGCATTGTATTTTCTCAGTTGTGTTGGAAGCTGTGATCTACCTGTGATTCCATAGGGAAGGCCTTCCAGAATTCCTGAGAGGCACCCAGAGAAGCTGTCTGTTGTACCATTTGCAAAGCCCCAATAGAACAAAAATGTAGAACAAAACGGCAGCTTCTGTCTTTGCAAATCTGTTGTATTATAACTGTTTGGTTTTTCTTTTTAATGCATTTCAAGCAAGATTTATCAGATATTTTTTTTTCTTTCTTAGAATGTAAACTTTCTCATAAATGTCTGTCTCTCATGGCACTAATTTGACAAAATGCTGCAGTAAGTTTCATTTTGTCTCCAACTGTGCAAAAGACTGCCGAGGAGTAATTATGTATTGTAGCCTGAGCTCAGTGGAGCACTAAAGGCGGTAGTTTAGTAGTCTCTTTGCTCAGTTCTGCACTCCTGCACAAATCTCAGCTAATCTACATAAGTAATAAGTGAGGAGGCTTCCAGGAACCATATATGTTTGCCATTTCGAGCTTGTGCTAACTACTCCCCGTTTTTAATACCTCACGTTACCAGAAAGGCAGCAAAAAGGTTATCAAGTTGTTCCTTAAGTCAAAAAAAGCATGTGTGAGAAAATGCCACTGGTAATCTTTGTCCAGAATGTAAAACATAGTACTGGAATAAGTCCTGTGTTTTTCTTGGATTCTGACCAAAATAAAGCTGTCAACAAAAGAAAAGTGTACAGCGTTAGAAGGGAAGAAGGATTTGAAAAAATATTAGAGGCCCTCTTGTTTTCTTTTCCCAAATACTGTTGTGTGAAAGAGTCTTTTTAGGCATATTTATAGACTATGTGAGCTACTGGAAACTACCAGATTTTCACCTCTCAAAACACATATCAAATTTTAAATTCCCAATACTAAGAATTTAAAGAAGAGCTCTGCGATTAGTATGCACCTTCTGGCTTGCTTTTTAGGTGAGTTTGGAGATGAACTGAACAGTAGCTCTTTTAGGAATTTGGAAATGCACAAGGAAAGATCTGCTTTTTCTGAAGCTCCATCTGTAAAGGACTGAGAATCCTTTCATTTTCAATGCATTGTTCTCTTTCCTTCAGAAAAATTCTCTGAATTGGGTAGTATTATCGCAGTTGCCTAGATGAGGAGATTGAAGCCGAAATTGAGAGGCAAATTACCTGTAGTCACTGCATACGTGCACAGAGGAGAGTAAAAGAAACCTCTGTTGACTGTTGCACCCGTGAAGGAGAAGGTAATTTTTCTGTAAAGAGTCTTTGAAAGATTCTCCCCAGTTGTCATGAGAAAAGAGCTGGTCAGTGCAGTGAACCCGTACTGCTGTTTGGAATCCAAGAATCTCTGTCCCAGGCCCCAAATATGTTTTCTTAGATGAGTCGCCCATAAAATTCTCAAGCCAATTATTTTCATTATTTGCTGGAGAAAGCCCAATACGAACAATGTTAGTAATGCAGATTTCGGCTGTATTGAAAAGGAGTCAGGCAACAGGAAAGATCAGGTAGCAGAAGGTGGTGAACTTGCGTGGCCTTTGTGGAACGAGGTTGCATTCTCTGATGGATGTGGATTTACACATTTATCTTCCAGGGTTTTTCTCAAATCACAGCTCAATGTGCCTTCTTCATAGTTGCTTAGAGAAAGTCTCAGTGAAGGTCAATAACTTGCTTCCAAATATGGGAAACTATCCCATAAGGCCAGATTTGTAAAGAAGAAAACAGTTTTTGCCTTCCACACTGCATAGTCATATTGTTTAGCTGGTGCACGGTTTTGATAATTTTTCTCAGTGAAAGTGCTTTCTATTAATTTGCAAATAAATGGTGCACTCAGGGTAGCAAATAATTTTTTTAATTATTTTTATAAGATTTCTCACTGCAAAAACAGTAGGACATTCAGGTGGTTCATAGGTTCTTGCCACCTTTAGGTTGAAAGGGTTTTTTGCCAGGCTTCTGCTTAGTTTGAATACTGCAGTAAGCTTAAATCTTGTCAGTTTGTCAAATGAGTGGTCTCATTGATTTGTGTGTGTGAACGCTGCAGGGTACAAGTAGGATTGCTGTCTTACAGAACTACTTGCTCCCATTAGAGACTTTGACCAAATTGTCCCACCTTTCTCTTTATCCATCCTGGAGAAAACTCAGTTCATCATGATCCTGAATTATAAGAATTAGCCTGAGCTTCATCAGTTCACGTTGGCTTCTGGAGATGCTCAGGGTCTGCAAAGCTCTGATCAATGGCAGATGCTGGGAGAAATGATATTCCATACAGAGAATGCTTCCTGTACTGCATCTCTTCCTCTGTATTGAAATAATAAATGCAGATTTCTGTCTTCAGAAATACATGTATTCCAATTCGGGAAACAACTTGGGTATTATGTGTAGCTTTGCCACCTTGGATTCATCCCTGTTTAGGAAAAGGAATCAGGTTCCAAGAATGCTGCAGAGGATACAAGGAAAGGAGAGGCTAATGCAAAAAACAAATAAACAACAACAACAACAAAAACATTGGTGCTTGAAAATGTGCTTTCAGCTAGTCCTGCTAGGAACAAGAGAAAAATAATACAATTACAAAAATAAAAGGCACGCGTTAGAGATCATTTAAATCAATGTCAAGAATCATCCCCAAATATTTATTCAAAAGATTATCTTAAAGGAGAGCAGAAAAGCACATTTTTTTCAAGTGGTGCTCAGTAAATTAGGAAAAAAGAAGAAAAAAAAAAGAAAAAGTCACCTGTCACTGAATATCTTAATAAAATCTGTGATATTAAGGACTTGATCTTGAAAAGGGCAAAGTTGCTTCACCTGACCGAAGTGGCTTAGGTGTGGTTAGATGGAAAATTATTTTGTCAACAGTCTAATCTCAAGTGTAGAACATAGAGGCAGTGTCACAGATGACGTTTTGACTTCAGGTGAGGATCAGGTAGCAGAAAAAATGAATTGCCCAGCGTGAAATCCTGGTTTCACTGATTTAGATAGGAAAGCTCCACTGGTCAAGATTCTTCCTAGGAAACAGAATGTCTGTTGTGTAACAGGTTTTTATGTGTTTGTTGTTGGAGTTTTTTTCAGGTTCTTTTTTGTTAAGATTTTTCTTCGTTTCATCTTCTTTTTTTTAATAAGCCAAGACAACTCTTGGCACTCATTCTGGTTTTATACTTGTTTTTAGATCATTGTACAAGTTTGTCAAAAAGCATAGAGTTATTTCTTGGCAAAATCAGGCCACTTTTCATTAGAAACAGCTCTCAAGGGATTAGTTTCTCTTTACTCCTCCCCTCCCTTCCCCCAGGATGCAGAGTGATTGTCTAACACTATTTCACTCTATTTATTTTTCATCATCGTGCAATTTTTATTTAATTAAGGTGCAGATTTGTTGGCAAAGTGTGTACATGGGATGGCTAGTGGTCTGCTTTAAAATTACATGGATATCCAAAAGCTTTGCCTCAGCATATGCTGCTTTTCTGCAGTCCGGCTGAACTGCATGCTTCACAGTGAAGCCAGACCATTTCTTTGTGATGGAGTTTATTAATCCTAATCTTTTGATCACCAGCACATGGAATATGCTCAGTCTTTGCTGAGATCCCTCCTAGATTTGAATGTGTCTGTGTGGTTTGTGTGTCCAAGGCTGCATTTTTTTTGTACTTTGGAGAATGGATTTCAGAACCTCAGTGGAACTAAAGGGGATGAAATGAGGGTATATTTCTGAGCAGGAGCACAAGGCAAGAAAGCAGGAGACCCGACATTTTTTTCTCTTTATTTAGCAGTAAAAGTGAAGAAATAGCTGCGGCTAAGCGTGAGAATGAGGATATATTCATTGATGCACAACTCCAGCAGACTTTGGCTGACCTGGATGAAGATTTAGAAGGTAGGGAACTGTAAAGCCTCTGAGGCATGAAAGACATAGGCACAGCCTGGAGAAACACAAACAAACTACACTCTGAGACATCTCCATTTCTCACTAAGATCACTAGCAGCAACTCACAGGTCTGAGTCAGAATGTGATCCACCTAAATTGGCTGCTTTTCCCTTGCTTCCTGGACAGCCACTCTTTATACATCAGCACAAAATATTTTTCAACCTGCTTATCAGATTGTCATTGTATTTTGATGTCTGCTACCAGAAAGAGACGAACAACAGATTATGAACACCTTTTGTGAGCTAAATTTGGTATTTACTTCACTGAAGCTAAATCAGTAGTGAGTTTAGTTGTCTTTCATAAACAATGCTTCTGTTGCTTATTTTATCATAGTGAAATGGAGAAGAGGGGACATTCTTGCACCCAATCTCTCCTCTCCATTAACAGGCATGTTTTAAAGTTAAACGTTAAAAAATGTGAAAAGAAACAATAAGAGATAAAATCTCACCACAAAGCAATATTGTGCTTCTGTTTTTCCTACAGTAAATAAAAACATTTCATTATTAATAGATCATTATGAAATGATGTTCAATACTTTGTAAAAAATTTCCATCCTTATTTCAGAACTTTGGCAGTGTACTGAATTCCAGTTTAATTTCTTTGAGTTTTCTAACACTGTCATTTCATACCTTCTGTGTTGTAACCCTTGATTTATACTAGCAAATCTGAGAGGAGAGTTAAGCTTCTTGCACAGTGAGACTCCTGGAGTCATTGGTAATGAAGGAAAATGAAAGAATGGAGAAAAAAAAATACAAGTACTGTTTCTTTGTTTGCTTGCTCAAGAAAATCCTTCAGCTGGGTTGTTATTATTATATTCCCAGGTCTGGGAAACATAATTTGAAGTTGCTCACTGTTTCTCAGAAATGTTTCTCCTTTGGAGTCATGTGGTGAAATGTTTATCACTGAGAGAAGTTAGTCAAAGATAAGGTATGAACAATAGATTAAATTCTGCTTTCAGCTGCATTTGTATGTTTCCCACTGGCTGAAGAAGGACTGCAGGAATATTTTGGCTGATCCTAATCAGCAGCCAGACAATAAAAAGGACCCAGATCTCTCCTTTTTTGTAATATAAATATATTCCTGCTAGTTTTAGTGGAACTAAAATATCTGATCTGGGTATGTTCGTGTTAACTGTTTGTGTAATTTAAAGTCATATTGCCTAAATATTGCCCGAATATAATACCATGTGTGTTTTACAGCAATGGATGTTTTAAGTAACTCTGATTCTGAGCATGTGAGTGAAGTGTTGAACCCACATACAAGCAAAGTTGAGGTCCTCCACGATGTTGCTAGTTCTGTTCCAGTAACAGTCATAGATGATGCTCCAGAAGTTACCATCTATAACTCAGCTGGAAACCAAGAGACAAGGGGTTCACGGAATTTATCAGCTGACTCTGTTAATATGGGAAACTTTACAAATAGAAACAACAATGCAGGTTCCTTTGATAAGGGGCACACCAATGGTGAAGCTGTATGTATACCCAAGTACCTAATACATCAGCAGCCATCTGATAATGAGTTCAGTCACTTACCCGTGGAACAGAGGAGGGATATGTTTGAATCTCTCACATCCTCCTTTGAAAAAAGAAGTGAAAAGAATGTAAAAGTAGAGGCTCTGCCTAGACATGTTATGAAGTCTGAGGAATATAAATCAAAGTTGACTTCATCTCACCCCAAGACTGCAACTGAAATCAATACAGCAAAAGAGAAAGTAAATCCATTTAATGAATGTAGTAAGAGGGAGAGACCTCTGAAAAAAAGTAAGTCAGAACTAGAAATCAAACGGCCACCTGCAAAAAAAATTGAAGTAGAAGAAGTTCCATCAACACCTCCATGGTGTCATCGTGCCCAGAAATTGGAAGCAAATTATGAACCCAAAATGGGTTTGACGACCTTCAAAGTTGTCCCTCCCAAACCTGAAGTAAAAAATTTTGATAGAGGACTTTCGATCTCTACTGGTGCCATTAAGATCGATGAACTAGGCAACCTTATCAACCCAAAGCCTGTTGTCAGTAAGAACATACCAGGTTCCTCTGCTGGTGAAAGTGAGGAAATTCCTCTTGGGAAAGTGAAGGCATTCTGGAGGTCAAGTTCTATGGAAAAACAAAGTGATGACTCTGCTGAGCATCTTGCTAAAAGGCCAGCAGTTACCACAAACTCTAAGTCCTTTGTTACAAAGCAAGAATGCAAACCCGTCTGTCCTGAAGCTTCAAAACCTGTACCACCACAAACTGTTATTTCCCAGGTAGGTGAAAAACAGTCTGAGAATGAGAAGACCAAACCACCTCTTCCAGTTACACAGTCTCAGGTAAAACCATTAGTGGTCCCAGCCATTAATAAGGACAAGCCAGAGCTTCCATTTCTAAAGCCTCACAGGAGAACTTCCAGTCAGTATGTGGCCTCTGCCATTGCAAAACACATCAACCTACCTACCTTTAAGTCTGATTCTACAGATTTTCATGAGAAAGATGAAAATAAGCATGGGGCAGGAGAGATTAAAACTGAAGCTGATGTTTCCCCCAAAAGGTGTATCGTTGTGGCCAAATACAGCCCTGTGGAAACAGAATTGGCAGAAACAAGAGAAAAAATTTCAAGTATTTTTACTAGTCAAAAAGCATCCCACAGATTCACACCTGGTGATAATTCTGGCACGGAAAACAAAGTAGTGAACATCAGGGCACCGAGTCAAGCAACTCCTGCTAGTTTCTATAAAAAGAATGCCAGTGTCCCACTTAGTAAATCCTCTTCAAAGGATAACAGCAAAGCAGAAGATGATCACAGTTTAAACAGCAAACAAGGTACAGCAGAGAAAAAGATGCATCTTTTGTTTGACCAGAAATGCGAGACTTTGCCCCGTAGTAATTCAGCCTCCTCTCTCAAGTCACCTGATCTCCAAGGAGCCTCACCCTCTTTCAGTTCATCTTTGCGCATTACTAAATGGCCTCCTGCTGACAGCATGCAAGTTAGTTCCCTGAAAGCAGCCGAGTTCAATGGTGTGACAGCAAAGGCAGAATCAGAACAGAATGACAGATCTGATGATTCGGCTGCTAATGCTATCGGTGAATTGGATGTTAATGTGCAGACTAATATCTTTGGACCAAAGAAGAAGTTCAAACCCGTTGTCCAAAAACCAATTCCAAAAGATACATCGCTGCACAGTGCCCTAATGGAAGCTATTCAAACAGGAGGAGGAAAAGAGAAACTCAGAAAGGTAAAGTGGAGATTTTATTTAGCCTGTTCAGGTTGCAGAAACCTGTAGGCAGCCTGTCAGACACCAGAGGTTTTATAACTGGTACATCTGCAAGGAAGCTGCAGCACACATGGCACTTGAAAAATTTATAGTGGCAAAGTGCAGACCACGCCAGTGGTTATTCTGCACGTCTTGTATGTTACGCAACACCATTCCTGCTGCCTTAGCTAAAAGAGGCAAAGGGGTGAGAAACAACATGAAGGAGAGGTAATTGAGGTTAGTTGGGGAGCCTCGCCTGCATTTCAGTGTGTTATGTAAAAAAGGATCACATAGCATGCAGAAAACTTGTAAATACCTGCAAAAGAAGGAATACCCCAGTTTTTGTTAGTAGACAATACCAGTTAGCCAGTGATTTTATGCTCAGGGGATGTGAGGCTGCATCTCTGTGTGTGGCATTGCTAACTGGGACCTTCATGTATCCTTACATTTGGTGTGAGCTCAGGTTATAAAAGCAGGCATGTAAGCAGACAGACTGATAGCTTGCATTCCAGTGCAAGAGCTAAAAATATTTCTAATAACATTTCCAAAATATCTCTGCGTAAATGTCTAATAACAGTATTCTTTTCATAATCTAGGTTTCAGACAGTGCACTAAATGGCAATCACAAGAAACCCTCATACAGTGAGCAAGAGAATGAGCGGTCAGCCCTACTAGCAGCAATTAGAGGTCACAGTGGCACTTCCAAGCTGAAAAAAGTAAGAAATCAACATGATAAATGATCTTCTAAGTGTGTTCTGTTCCTATTGAGTGTTTCAAATAAACCTAGAGAAAATGCAAACTATGAGTTGTGTTGGAAAGAGAAGAGTATAGGGGGAAAGTGTTACGATGCAAGACCAGATCTGACTTACACAGATAGCAGAGAGGGTCAGATTCCAACCTGTGCCATAGAACTTAGCACTCCCTCAACTGGCGTGCTTTTAACTTAAAAAGAAGTGGAGAAGTAATCCAAATGGATTACTGGGAATGTACACAGGAAATATCAAATGTTTATTGCTTTCACATTTTAGGTGTTGCTTTTTGTATGTTAGGGGAATGCAGTTAGTATATTTGCATTACCTTCTGTATACGTCCAGTTCCAGTTACCTCATAACACTAGGACTTTTTCATGCATGCTGTTTATCTGTTAACTTAACTGATGCACGCAAGTTGTATGCAAGTAATTGATGGAAAATTTCAAACACTTTCACTACAGCAGAATGTTTCCTCCTATCTGAAAGATTTACCTAATCATTAAAGCATCTCTTATCCCCAGTAGCCAAAGCCTGCATTGTTCTAGCCTCAGATTTCACTCAGTTACTAATCCAGCCAAGGACATGTATTTGGCAAGGAGGTTCCCATTTCCCTCATGCAATGACTAAGACCATTAGCACATATCCAGAGAGCTGGCACTAGGTAGAAAGTCTCCCTTGTCTCTGTTTGGGAATTATTTCCTCCCTCAGAGCAGTTCTGAATATCTTACTGCCCTTGTTTCAGTTAGGCTGCAGCTTCTCTTGAACTTGGGTGCAGAACGTGCGGTGCTGCAGTCACCTTTGTGCACACAACTGCACTCTGCGTTCATTAGGAATAAATGCAGATCTGTGTGAAAGAAGCTTTGCAAGTGAAATGGCGTTGTGTTGCCGCAGAGACTTTTTAGGATACTTTCTTCCTGCAGAGAAGATTTTGCCATCATTTTAAAGGAAGTTGCCTAGAAACCATGGGCTTCTTTTGCACAGTGTCACCTGTGCTAGATGAAGTACCATGTTTGTATGTATACAGGGCGGGATATAGATGTACTGTGATTAAAGAGCTGTCCCTTCCATGACATCTCAAATGTTCTAATCTTATCTGACATGACATTATTACCATAAATTTGTGTATGTGTATGTACAGTGAAGTAGCAGAACATAGGGGCTCTCTGAGTTTGGATTATTTGATGAGAGAGAGTGCTTTTTTACTAGAGAAGAGCTATGCTTCAATTTCATTGAAAAAGAATGTTAATGCATCTACTTGAAAACCTCCTGTTTGGCATATGGTACTGAATTTCCTAATAATTGCCAAACCCTTATAATTACTAATAATGTGTTGTGATTAGTATTAGTAATGTTGTTAGTGGAAAAAATATTTGTTGAGGCAGTTGCTTAGTCTAAAAGATTACCTCCTTGCCTACATTATTTAAACTAGAGCAAGTTTCCAGGTAAGTAATTTGTGCTGAAATTTTAGGTTCAGAAATTCTACAGAAAGCCACTTGGAAGAGTAATCTATTGATTTTCTTTTTTTTCCTCAGTGCTTTCACATAATTCTGCTGTACTACTTTTTTTTTTTTTTTTTTTTTTTCTTTTTTCATTGTGAGTTGAAACTTTAATATTATTTTTTCACTAAAGCTGAAAGCTTCAAATCCAGAAAAGCATCTCTGTCATTTGAGATTATTTCTATGCAGGCCAGAATGTGAAAAGTAACAAGATTCCTGGGTGGCTGTAGCAGCTTTAATATGTCTTCGTGATTCCAAAACCCCTTGTTGTTCTTAGCAAATGAATTCCAAGTCCAACTCTCTGTCTGTTACCTTAAATGCCAAAAAGAGTTACACGATGCTGGAGCTTGTGGTAAATAAAGATTGAGTTTCTGAGTCAGAGTCAATGCCAAATCCTTGATGCTTGTAATCAGCCCAGCTGAGTGATGTGAGTGAGTAGTAACAGATGTTCAACTTCATGAGCAAACAAAAGCTCTACGTGTTTTATGTCATTCAAGCAAAGTGAAATTAGGGTACTGAAATTAAAGTGCATCAAATGTCAAGTAATTACAGTTTAGTCATGCTTGGTATTAACTGTCTCCTTTCAAATGCATCACAAACAGATCTCCTCATTGGCCTCCGAAGAGCTCCAGAGTTTTAGGAATGCAGAACTGTCTTTACAGAAAGCAGAAGACCCTCAGGAAGAACAGCTCTGTATTCCACCTGCCCCTGCCCAGCCACCACCTCCCCCTCAGCTGTCAACAGCTACGTTTAAATTCTCTGCCACAACTACAGGTGACCCTGGAGAGGCAAGGCGAGCCCTGATGGAGGCCATTCGCTCTGGTGCTGGAGCAGCAAAGTTAAAAAAGGTAAATGCACTTTTATATTTCCTTGTGGATGAAAAAACTTGGTCTTTCTTGGCCTTGGAAGCTGTTCATAAGCTGTTCTAGCCATGCATTTCATTCCGCCATCAGAAGAGCTATGCATTCAGTGTTTTCTCTGAGTCGAAGACTGAGAGTGTTTTTCAAACCTTTGAACAGGTATTAAAATGCACTGTTAATGCTAAAACATGCCTGTGTTTATACACAACCATATGAACCACATGAGCAGCCAGTTCTATTTAAAGAGCATGAATGTCACTTCAGAAAGTATTTCCATGCTCTTTTCTGTTATTGTGAATATGAGATAATACTGCATGTCCTTCAGACAAGGAGAATTTTTAAAAGATCAGATATGAGACCCTAAAGCAAACATAGAGGTAAATATTCTGTCCTAACTTCAGTTATGTGTTCTAGGTTTTGATTTCCATAGGATCCGTCAGTAAAACCTGTGGGTTCCTTTTAGTATCAATCTGAACTTTATTAATTGGATGCCTGTATGTATCAGTTCTGTGTCCATTGTGGGTTAGTCTACTCCCAGATGGCTAAATGATCTGTTGCTCTAGTGTGGTTTTTTGCCATAAATTCACATACTTCTTTGACCAAAATTTGCTCTTCCTAATCTTGAGTTATAGTATATTTCTGGGTGAGGAGAAGTAGATCAGTTGTTCTCAGTGGAGTTATCTCAATATCATACTGCAGTATCAAAGAATGGACTTTGATCCACAAACTTTAGGGGATGCACTGAAACAGATGCCATTTTCCCAACACGTAATTTAGCAAATGACAACCAGAAGTGTGTAAATATACTTTAACCTTGCTCACTTGTCCTCTTCAAATAATTCAGAAAATGTGATCAAATTTTAACAATAAAAAGTCTATCTAAAGAAATCTTGTTTCTGATAAATCAGAAATTCCACAGAATCATCCAAATAAGTATACATTCATTTTACTTTCAGGGAAGTTCACATCAGCATGCAAACAGAAGTCTGAATGTGCAGTTACTTTCTATGTGAAAAGATGTATTGATACTATGCATACGAGTAGAAGATGACAAATTATGAAGAACTGCTACTCCAGATCAGGCCTTTGATTCCATACTTCACTAGCTTACAGAAAAAAAAAAAAAAAAAACAAAGGAAATGTGGACATTCAAGAATACTTGATGCTGTTTTTTGATTTGTAGATCCTTCCAAATTCCTGGTTCGTCCAACTGCATAAGACTCTGAGGGAACCCATACCGCTATTCATTTAAATAGGCCTTTATTATATCCTTGGGGATTTATTTTGAAACAGTTGGGTGGCCTCTGCAGACCATGAAAGTGATCTAGATATACTGATGTATTCTGCTAAATACTGTGCCTGTCTTTTTCTATTTTCAAGACAGAGTATTTTTTTTGTAGTTTTGACATTGAGATGACAGAAGAGTGCATCTCTTATTGGATAGATCTTTTATGAAAATAAAAGAGAGGAGCATTTTGTACAAAACAAAGTAAAGTGGTATTATTATTGTGCTGTTCTTCAGGTATTGGATATGCAAGTTAAGTCCTGTATATGCTAAAGGCATTGTATCACTTTGACATCTGAAATTTCATGCCCTTGATCAGTGATAAAAGTAAAATTCAGATTTCTCAAAGAGCTTGTATCCACTGTGTATTAAAATCTCTCCTAGCTTGCTGTGTTAAGTGAGAGCTAAATTCTGATCTTTTCCTTGCAGTAAGGCAATTTGTGATAGCAAAAGTTGAATTGGTAGAAGCATGTGTCTGCATATCAGAGTTTTCTTTTCTTCCTTCATAGCTGAAGAATATATCTCCAAGGAGCACTGAGTTGTTGACAGAGGGTGGCTGACAGGTAGTTTTGCACCAGGGCTGAGGCAAGCTTTCTTCTGTGTTTAGCCTTACGTGTCCATTATCTCTGATGCCATGATTTGGAGGTATGAGTACAGGGCCATTTTTGGCTTTGCTTTCTAGAAGGTTTTGGTTTCAACAGCTAGACAGCAGACTTGGTCGTTCCATTCTGTAATTGTGTCTGTTTCTCCTTCATTGTCTTCTTGAAATTTTTTGGAACAGGAGCTTCTGATGGTGAAGTCATTCATTTAGCTAATATTGTGGGGGAACTGAGACTAAGAACTGTGTTGCTTAGTTATGTATGACTCAGTTTGGCCTTATTTATAAGGGGTTATTTGCAGTGGAAGTAGATCAAACAGAGCTGTCAGGGGAACTAAACATAAAAAGCAACCAATTGCATAGATAAGGAGCATCCCAACAAAAATTTGAGCTCTATTAATATCTGTGAAAAGGCAACTCCTCCACTCCACCCTTGATTACACAGCTGTTTGCTAAAGTCGTGAACTTTAAGGTTAAAAGATCCACTGTGTAGGAAGGGAGGAGAGAAATTGGTGTAGGCTGACCTTGCCTTGTTCAAAGTCAGAGTCTGCACCACATTGGCTGTAATTGGGTCACCCAAAACAAACCAGAACAAAAATAGGTACTTGAGGAAAATGCCAAGTGTGGATAAGACAGTATGTGCGTAGGTTCCCTGTCCATTCCTTAATTGATTTCTTGGAGTACTTTGCCTGCTTTGGCTAATAAATCATACTTTGTTTTGGAGAAATGACTTCTGTTTTATTGCACACTGTTGCTGTGCACGGAGTCCTAAAGGAACATTCTTGTGGATGCCAAGCCCAGTTGGGCCTCTTCAGAAAAATCCCAGTGCAGTGCAGTTCAGAGAGATGCCAGAAAGGGGGTTAGATTTCATATCCTACCCAAACATCTTCACCTCCATTCTATGCTATTGAAAGGTGATGAAATTACCAAGCTGCAAAAGACTTTACAAGATGCAGGAAGTAACCTTTTTCTTCAATTTCCAAAATAGCCAAAATGTTACTTGCTTAGCACACCCGAAGTGCAATAGCAAATCATGGAGATGGCGTGAAGCAAAGACAGCAACCAGGATGGCTGACATGGTGCTTTTGGCTGTTAGTTGACTTCAGAAGTAAAGGGGTCTCACCAGCAAGGAGCTTGCTTTCTAGCCATGCGGTCTGGCTCCGGTACAAAGGATGATCAGTTGATCTGAGAAATAAACAACTGATCTGAAACCAAATTTTGGCTAATTCTATTAGTCAGATTGTTGAGCTGTACCATCTGAGTTTCTGTTGTTAAATATGAACTAGTGTTTTCTTTAATTATACTAAGGAATTTTTCTCATAGTTTCATACAATTAAGATCCTTCTGATTAATTTTTTCACTTTTTATTTCTGTCTTAGCAAATGGCTAGATTTCTGCAATTCCTTATAACATTACATGTGTATTTTTGTCTGTGTAACCTGCCTTGGGATTTACTATGATTACCTGTGGAAAAAAAACACAACTGCACATGCAAATAACCTGTTAGATGTCTAGCTGTAGGTACAGTTGCAGCACAAGCCCATGCAGGATGAAAAATTTTACCCAACAAAGAGAAGTTACAGAAGTTACTCATGCTACATTATACCATCTACTCATATTAGAGTTGAGGGATTTGGTAGAAATACTGCAGGAGAATGTGCCTTCACAATGTGGAAAAGGCAAGTTGCCGATCTGAAAAACAGGCTTTGCTTGTGGAATAATTATTTCTGTAAACCACCTTTTAATAGAACATGCAAGGGGTATTCTACAGACTTCACATTTTCCAGTAACAATAAGAGCCATGCAATTTTAAGCAATCTTATATTAATAATACAAATTTGGCTCAATCGCAGTATCTACAAGCATTCATTCCATTGGCACTGGCATTTAGTCACGTGAACTCTTGATACGTGCGGTATATCACTCTGTTGGCAATCAAAGGAGCCAAGTAAGGTAATTACTGCACCCATTACAGTAGATCTGTGGTATATGCTGGGATGATTTGAAGTTGGTTGCCAATGAACTGAATACATCAATCTGAATTATGGCCCGTTCGGTGTCTTCTAGGAAGTGTGGCCTAGTTCTATACCTCTGTGTCTGGCACTGGATTATTTTCCTCATATAATAATAATCTGTGTCTGTGGGTGCAATGACAGAAATTACAGACTCAAAGCCATGGTTGATGCTGGCACTGCTATGCTGAAAATGGAGTGGGAGGCCCCACTAAAAGGTTGGCCAAGCTTGATATACAGGTAGTCAAATGAGCACAGAAAGTGATTCTCATTCCCATGCATAGTGAGAGACAGACATTTGCATGCTGCTACTTCATTTGAATTCAAAGATTAAATTTTATTTGAACTATTCACCTTAATGAGAATATGTACCATGACCTATTTTTTTTCCCTATGAATAAAGCTTCTGCCATGGATACTAAGGCCAAAAGTGGAAGATTGAAACTTAATCAAATACATTATTTCTGTTTAGCTTCTGCGATCCCCTGAATGTATATCTCTCCGATAGAATCAAAGCCAAGTAACTTTCATTTGGGAAGAGTACACTGGCATTAAAATTAAGCAAATGCGTCGATGACCTGGGGACTAGGAAGGAAGATAAGCATTTGTTTAAGCCTATAAAAGTTTCTGTCATTCAGTCAGGAAGCCAAGTACTAATCAGTTGATTTATATGACCAGTGACAGCTATCTGATACTGCACAGCTTTTGACTGTCAGATACTGCGTACTCACAGTCAGATCTCTGTTCATCCACAAAATGAAGGAAGTTTATAGAAAAATATGTTGTCAACTTTCATGTAATAATGTTACTGCAACTACGATGTACATATATATGAGGTGTGGGCTTTTAAGGAAGGGTATACTTTCCTTAAGACTAGTTGATAAAGCTAGAAAGGAAAACAGATAAGCTTTATGTCTTAAGGAGCTGAAGAAGAGAGTAGGTTTGAAAACAGCCCCATAGGAGAATGTTTGGTTAACGATGAAGGTTTAAAAATATCTTGAATGATCGTGTGCTTTCCTTTGTTATAGGTCCCTCTGCTCGTTTGAATCACGTATAAAGAACAAGTAATTGGAAAATCTAACCCATAAGCACCTATAATCATCATTCAAGTTCTGAAGGGCAAAAAACATCAAGACATTTAGTTTATTCTTTTGTCTACACGCCAAAATAAGTTGTAGTTAATTTTCTTTGTGTTCCTGCATAATGGTTCTAAGGGAAAAATATGTTGCTCTGCTGTAAAGCTTCTGTGCCAAGGAATTGTGTTTTGCCTCTGAATATTTAAGGTTGCCAATAAACTATTCTTGTTGGCAGGTTAATAAGAATATAAATACTGTGCGGTCCTGTGTTCATACTTAATTGTGTTTATGGGCAAAATGAAAAGACTTAGCTAGCTATCTGAAAAGTAATATTCATTTCAAGTTCTTAAGAATATGTAACTGTTTCAAACCATTTACTTCTTATTTGATTTAGAAAGGGCAGTAAATGATCAGGGGGAAAAGGAGAATAAAGATCTGTAGAAAACAATTACAAGGAAAAAGTTGTGGTATATTATGAGGAACGTCAACTGTCATACATGGAATCATTGTTGTCTTTTTAAGGTTAAGTGAATGTTATATCTTTGGTGGAACTCTGAGAAAGCAGTCAATCAGGAGTGAATGTGAGACTCTGTCTGTTGAAGAGTTACTTATGGGATATGACGTATCAAATACTTGTATGTATAGATATACCGAGCCCTAGTAATGTTCACGGCACTTTAAGAACTGAGACACCTTAAAGAATCTCTGTTTGCAGCAGACTATGAGCGTTATAAATAAGACTTCAGAGTGCTCCATAGAGGTTCAGGATTTAGAATTCATTCCCGCACTGCAAAAAGAAGTGAAGCTGGTCTATATTAGAAACCAGGACTTTGTCTCTTGGTCAAGTTGTTGGTAATTTTGCCATTTGCTTCCAGATTGTATGGTTGTTGTATGTTGTCTCATGAATATTTATAAGCAGCATCTTTCTCAAATGTTAACTACTTTGGTAGTTGCTGTTGTACATATTTTGACAATCTTTCATTGAATTGAAATGATTAAGTTATAAAGGAGAGATCAAAAATGCTTTTTCGTATTTCCTGTATTGTAATGAAACTGAGGAAGAGGAAGTTTGTACATTTACACTTTTATAATCACAGATCAGAGTGTTGGTAGATTTTTTTTTTTTTTTGAGGCTGAAATTCAAAATGTATAGCTGTGTAATGTTGAAAGCAAGAGAATATTTAGCCATCTGCATTTAATATGACTGTATATTATATATTGTAAAATATTGATGTCTGTTAGTGCCACAAATAAAAATAAAACGAACACCTTACATGGCTTGAAAGACTCTCTTTGCCAACTGCTCTCCATTTACAAAAAGAAATTGGATCTAGAGATGGACTGAAGCAACCGTTATGCTGTGTTTGATGTCTCAAAATGAGAATCAAGATAACTGTTTTTTACATTATTGTATTAATCTGCTGTAGATCCATTTCATCATTAGGGAAGCTAATATATTCAGAATTAGGGTGCTCTTTTGTGCCCTACATTAAATAAAATAACTTCTGTTGACTGGTTAGCTTTCTTTTACCTTGAAAGTCTTCTCAGTGTGCTTTAGATAAGAAATATTAACATTAAAATTGTATTGCAGGAAAGGATGCAGTTGCTAATAGCTTGAATACTGAACAGGTTGTCCCACCAGTAGCTAAGGCAGCTTCCTTGCTGAGGTGCAGGAAGATATAACACACTGCAGTTCTTTTGTTGTTCTTAGTGTTGTCTGAAGGCCCTGCATCTGTAGCTCTTCCTTCTTAATGCCGCTTTCATTTAACAAATTATATAGATATATACTTTTCAATGTAAGGGATCCAAAACTGGATTTTGAGATAACAAGATACTCCAGTCTTTGAGATTCAAATGTTCCATCTGGCTTTATAAAACTAGAGTTTATAAAAGATTTATGCTTGAATAAACTGCTGATTATCAAATTCCCATGGCTAAAATACTATAAGAACAGTTGCAAAATGAGATCTCACCTTTACTGTCCTGCAGGCTCACTCACAGCTTAAGCTAAAAATGGAAAGAGTTCAGCTGTCTACAATAGGAAGCTGGACTGGGTGTGCATTCCCTTCTCTTTCTGATGAGCTGTTAACACTGTCATCCTAGGTGCTGCAGAATTCCTGGTAGACACTTAATTTAAGCCCAGACAAATGGAAATTTTAATATAAACCCATTTTCAAGAGAGTCTAATTATAGGCATGACTCTTCCATACAATAACTATCTATTAAGGCTTGTAGCAGTCTTCACTTGGGAAATAAGCATATGTTGTTAGTGGTTGGTGCATTTCAGGCTAGTGCTTTTGAATCTGCTTATCCTGTCACCCACACTTTTACCATGATTCAGGACTTGAGAACTGGGTTGCTACTGGATGCAGTGAATCTGGGAGATGAGTTCCATCATAAATTAACATTCAATCCAAGGAACCATGCTGGAGTTTGTCGTAAGTTGAAAGAAAAACCCTGAAATGTGTATGGTAAAGATGTTATTCCTCAATCAAGTATTTTGATCCATGTAGGTCACTCCAAAAGTAATTCCTCCTATATATTTCCATGGAAACTACAAGAGCAAAATAGCATTATTGTTTGATAGAGCAAATTCTCAACTACAAAACACAACTCTTCAACGTAGTCACCATTGTTAGCTAAACATTTTTGCCAGCAATGAACAAGAACCTGCATGCTATGCTAGTAAAAATCCACGTGGTCATCTGGTACGTGGTTTGTCTTTCACACTGCTTTTGCCATTGCTGAAACACACAGCTCTCCTGTGCACACATCCACTGTTTGGTCTCCATAAATGTTCAGCAAGTGTTGATGAATGTCAGTGGTGCCATTTTTTTTCTGTATGGAGGAGTTCAGTGACACATCTGTACTTCCACGTCAGATGCCATTTTGTCAGACTGCCTCTTCACTGCCATTTGTTACAGAGCAACATATGATGGAATATTGACAGGAAGGTTCATCTTCTACTGACATACCACCACCATCTGCCTCTGATGTCATGGGCCAACATCATAAAATACGAGGCATTATTTTTGAAGCAGTCTTTGTATATTTCTGCTCCTGCTGGTC